TATATATATAAATATGTTTCTGTTTATGTACAGTTTGATTTACGGTATTGATAGACCAACCTTCTGTTTGACAAAGTCCAGCGTTTGGTATGTGTGCATCAGCTTGTATGTATTAAACACACGGTCAAAGAGAGCTCCACTCTGGACACACATCAAAATGGAAATAAGAGGGTTGTATAAAAAGGAATGATACAAGAAAATATGAATTAAGAATATGCATAATTCCAAGTTTTACCTCAAAGTTCCTGAATTCTGATTTGTCTTTCTCATGACTATCGGGGCGATATGCCAGAGAGGGATCCGGACCCTAGTAGTTAGAGTTTGTGTGTATTATTAGATGCAACTAATTAGACTTAGTCTACCAACTCAAACAGTGACACGGTCTGATTGACAGTTTTCCGCATTGCTAAATGATTACTCATGTGTAATTCCTACAGTTCTGCTTTACACACCGTTGAGGAAATTATGAAGCATGTATGTAAATAATAGTCTGAATGTCCGGTACATACCAGGTTCACCACCCTCATGATTCAGCTGAGGTTGTGTTGTTGAGGATGAAGGAGGATGTTGTGTGTTTGGCGTCTCTGACCGCTCTATTTATCAATGCTGCACGGATGGACTGTAGTGGGAAAAACTAGTAACACTTTAACTTTCTCCACTTTGCTTTCTCTCTGAAGCTTCCAGGGGTCCGTCAGTGTATGTAAAGGTGTGTGTTTGCGTGTTTGAGTGCTCAATACTGGGATAACTTGGCTCAAATACAGTCTGGTTCAGAAAGGACACACTGTCAATACAGTGACTAAGGGATTTTGGTTTAATAGTAATTTAGAGTGTGAGTGAGTTACTTCATTACTATACACCATTATATTAAAATATTTGTTTTAATGTGGTTTTCACTATTTGTTTTCTTCTTCTTTTTTGTAAGTTTTAGGTTTTATCTTAATTTTAATTGTATTTTTTTTGTATCAGTCAACACAATAAATCAAAGTAAAATATGTTTTGCTAATTATCTTCCCTAAAGATTACGATTATTTTTGATTTGACTGATTACAATCAGTTTTTTTTATTATTATCATTTTACAATGGCTTCAATGCTTGTGTTTTAAGAGTCTTATTTGTAAATCATCTCTAAACTGTTTTATTTGTGCTTCACCAGAACGTTCAGAACCTTCAGATTGGTATCGTGATAACAGTGATTCTATGAATTTGACTTTGTAAATAGTGCGCTGTCTGTCAGTCTCTGGTGCCGAGAAGCACAACAGCACATTTTGGGGAATTGTAATGATAGTCTGTATGTTTGTTTCTAGGCAGAGTTGATGTAAAGTCTAGTGTGTGTGCTTTTGTGTATAGTAGGATACACCCCTAATTTTAATTGGCTGATAGTTTGAGTGTACGTGGTCTAGAGCACATGTGATGAGTTCACAGTGTAAAGTTTAAAAACAACTAGTGAAACACTCATTCTGACTTCTACAACATTCCTTTGTTTCCTCATCTTTGGCAGGATTTTTATTTTTGTTGACATGTTTGGTTATGCAGTTATAGAGATGAAAATAAAACGGGGCTCTTAAATTAAATGGATACTATATAAACTACACCATCTTTTACTATTAGCAGCCATTCAAAATATTCAAACTGCAATTTTTCATTATATTATAGTAGATGTTTAATTGAGTAACTCGGCAGCAAAAGTTGACACAAGCAGTCCAATCTATTATAGCATACATAATGTATTCATATTTTTTGTGTAACTTTTTGTGTAATGTTTCAGGTCTGCAGCCAGCAGGTGGCAGTCTAACCTAAAACTATCCTGATTGGATGTCACACCAGGAGAATGTTGTAAGGGGTTTCCATTGAGTTAAGAGAGAGACATGTGACTAAATAATGTCTTTTATAAGCCTTGCTTCCAGTAAGTAAAAAGCACTATATGTCAAATTAATAGTAGGCTATGTCTGAAATTCAGTATTAGTACAGTAACAATAGGCAGCAATACCCAGATTGCCTACTAACAATACTTTTATTTAGCAAAGATGCATTAATTTGATCAAAAGTGTCAGTAAATACATTTATAATCTTACAAATGATTTATATTTAAAATAAATTGTGTTTTTGTTATTCATCAAAGAATCCTGAAAAAAAAGTATCATGGGTTCCACAAAAATGTTAAGTATCACAACTGTTTTCTTTTCAGCATTGAGAATAATAGGTAATGTTTCTTGAGCAGCAAATCAGCATATTACAATGATTTCTGAACGATCATGTGACACTGAAGACTAGAGTAATGATGCTGAAAATTCAGCTTTGCATCACAGAAATAAATGACATTTTAAAATATATTCAAACCATATTTAATAATATTTGTTTTTACTTTATATTTGCTCAAATAAATGCAGCATGGTGAGTAGAAGAGACTTCTTTCACAAACATTAAAAAAACTTTTGGCAGTGAATGGCAGCATAACTATTTATTACAAATTGGTGCATTTTATCATATTTCTGCTGATTTTATGAAAGCAGTAAGCCAGCGGAGTCCATGTGTTACATTGTTTTTACCACATTGTTTTTGGGTCATGCTGAGCTATTGATAATACCACTGGTGTCGCTCTGACTCAGGTCACACTGGTAATGATCTGCGCATATACTATATGTGTTTGCATTCTATTATAACTGCCCACATGACACTAACAAACAAAACAATAACCATTTGCATTTGTTTATTGAAACAGCTAAATCATATTAAAATACATAGCACTGACACATAACTACAAACATTCAGTCATTATACACGTGCAAAATATTTACACAAGCTTTTGTTAACTTGGAATTAAATAACATCTCTTCCATTCAAGTCAATGGCATTAAAGAAGGTTATTGATCATGTTGCTTTTAAGGTGCTTTATGTTTAATAGTAACATTTTACCTATATGTGAACATAAGGATAGCAGACATTCCACCACTGACACACTATGACAAACTGAAGGAGTGTGTATGAGTGTGTCAATGTGTGTGTTTGTTTAGCCAGAGAATTGTGTTTATATTTGTCTCCCGTGTTTTATTTGTATTTGTGATTTTATGTTGTGAGACTGGCTTGTGCAACGTACACGATCAGACAGTGTTGAAAGTTTGAGAGCTTTATGGATGAAGATTTGACGTTTTAAAAGTTTAAATGGGAATATACCGTGGTCCCAAAAAGGTATGTGGACACTTAAAGTGGCTGTGTGTAATCTTTCGAAGTGAAAATACTTTCTCCAAGCCTAGTGTAAAGTGCAGAGACAGCTATAAATAAGACTTTCATTTCCCCGAAGAGTGTAAACCGTGTGAGTCTGTGACGCTTGTAACATTACTCTGTTGACGTTGGCTCAGCCAATAGTGTGAGTTTGGGGCGGGACTATCTGTTTGTCTAGCCAATGGCTGATGGGAGGAGAGCTCCGGAAACCTGTTTAAAAACAGGTACTGTTAAGATGACAAAATATCAAACCGAATGGTATCTGCAAGAAAATACTGAGCTTTTTCTTAAAACTAACTGCAATTTTTGGAGCATTTTTGCAATTTTAAACATCTTTGAACAACTTACAATTTAAGTTATTCACTGAAAAAATAGACCTCTGATTTCCACAAATATGGGGCTTTTAGATGAAACGCACTGTATCAGGATTAACTTCGTGACATGACCAATAATCATTGAATTAGATTCCAAATACATTTTGTTTTCAATTCAAAGTTTTTTTTTATCATTTGAAACCTAACAAACCTTTAGTGCTATCTTTCTTTTAAATAAGCACTTGGTTTGATTTTTTTTTCTAATGCAGTTAGATTCATAAATAAGTACAGCTTAAGTGTCCAAATACAGGATGTTTACTCTTTAAGATGTTCACATTGAAGCTCTGTTCGGCTTTAGGTGGCTCAGTCAAGGGCGATTTGTCCTGGCTTAGAGAGCGGGAGACAGTGAGATTACTGTAAAGATAATGAAGGTTCAAGTCACTTCATTACAGAAGGGCATGAAGTATCAGAAGTGGGAAATATTAAGACTTTCATCTGAATTTGACCTTTAGAAAAGGACAATTGATTGTTAAAGGGGGACATAAAATGTTTACAATTATATTCTCTTCCCTGAGATCCACTAAGCTGTTGTTTATTTAGTAGTGTTTTCTATTGGCTCCAAAGTTGCATTACTTTAAGACATTAAAGAGATTCATTAAGCAATCCATGCTGAAATGAAAACTCGTATCTGCAGAGCTGTAGGTGCTACACACAGTCAGGTTTCTCAAACTTTCCCTCATTTTTTTACACTTCTCGTTATTTCCTCTGGTGTTTAGGAGTAATATCTAACGTCCTCCTTACTACGTATGAAAGGCCAGGCCAAGTTTCTGAACATTTAAATAGAAGCTTGCAAGTTAATGTTGGCGATCATACCGTATGTTAATGTTAAATGACGTCAAAGTTGCAGAAGTTCATAACGAGTTGTTTTTGTTTCAATAAATGTTTGTTTAGGGAAAGAAGTTTAGAGTTCTTAAAGTTGCAGTAAGCACATTGAAGGACTCTTTTATTTCAAAAGATCAAGAGAATTTGATTTCTCATGACAGGACTCCTGTAAATTGATCACGCCAGTTGTTGATTGGTGTCGGTGGTCTTCTGTAGTCACATTTTTGGATAGATTTTTACTGTGTGGTCTTATCCATAACTATGTGGACTTCTGGGATTGATTGGCGCGTCTTGCCGTCCACTTTGGCCGTTCAGCTGATAGAGGCGGTGGCTGAGGTTTTGTACCTGGCATGTGCCGAGGACGCATCCCACACGCATCAGCTGACCCTGCGGGTGACCTCGTGACCCTCTGAGGACATGCCGACGTTCCCGGAAATGTTCCCTGTTTTGATTGGCCGGTGTGTTGGTCTGTTTCACCGGGGGTCCTTTATGCAAGAGGGCCCTCCAGACCGCACGGCGCTCTCTTGCCCCGGCACTCAAAGCTATTGAAGGAACGGTGATGGTTTCCATGGCATTACCACCCTGTGTTTCTGGAAGCTTCCCGGGTTTGCTGGGAAAACTCGATCTGGTGAGAGAAAGAGAAATGGTTTGGTTGACCACCAGTGAAGCTCATGCATGCATGCATTGTCCAGATCTATTTAAATACATCATTCAGACATTCACATAGAAGCTGACGTAGTTTAAGTATTAAATTAGAGGCTTAGCAGCATTAGGACCATTTTAGTATCTGAAGCCTGTTATTAATCGAGCATTTCTCTGGCTGTAGTCCGAGTTATTTGTGGCATGCACTAATATTCCCTCACTCTAGGACACGCACTCCTTCACGTGCTTCCCTGTCTTCAGTCTGGCTCCTCAGCAGACATTCAGAGCATTCGTTTTTTGTTAGAATATCGGTAAAAATGAAACAGAGGGGATGTAAAATTGTTAGACTGAGGTCTCTGCACTGTGTTGGAGGGACTGTTTGGCACTATATTTGCTATTAATTTAATTATTTTATATGTAAATCAGTTATTTAAGGTGAAGTTTGTAAAGTATTTTTCCGAAGTTATAAATGAGTATTTTTTTTTACAAGAAAATACTATTTTATGTTTTTTTGCTTTAAAATTTCACATTTAATTTGATGGGTTTTTTTTTTGTTTTTTTTTTGTGATTTCTGAGTTAAAATAGTTTCAAAGCAAATCTTGCAGCAGCACATTAATTGCCTAAATAATATAATTTTTCAGATAAATTCCAAACATCTGCCATTATTCAGCCAGTCGGGTCATTCCGTGGCTCTGGTTGAGCCAGACACTCACATGTCAGACTGCTTAAACACCTTTGACTTGTGCTTTGTGTTTTCTAGCTCATAAATAAACTGGCATTAATACCCATCATGCACCTGGCAGAGATCTACATCCCTGCCAAACCTGCAGGTGAGGGAGTTTATGTGAGATGTTCTTTTTAGGAAATGTTTGTACTGCAGTTTTCCTGAATTGTTAGCTGTTTGTACAGCATTTTAATTTGTTACATTTATTTGTATTTTATATACAAATATATTTATTTATGTTTGTGAATATAATAACATTAATAACAACTGTTACTAAGCATGATACTTGAGTATCTGTATGTATGTATTTAAGTGTAATTTTCATAGGCTGTGTTTATGTTGAGCATTAGTGTGGGATATATATGGTAATACTTTACATCTAATCTGAATCAGAATGTTTCTGAACAGGATTAGTCTGGACTGGCTGTAGTATAACACACACATACACAAAATCACTTTCACTGTCTACACAAAGTTTCAAAAACACTTCCGATCACTGTCTCTCAGCAGTCATGCGGAGCATTTAATGGTGTGGTTATAACATGGGTCCACTGTAAACCTTTGTTTAGCACTTGATTTGAAGACTATGATACTATACCTGTTACATTTCTGTACACTTTAAATTTGTTTTGAAAGAAATGAGTACTTTTATAGTTGTATGCAGCAAAGATGCATTAAATTAATCAAAAGAGACAGTAAATGCATTTATAATGTCTATAAAGATTTCTATTTCAAATAAATGCTGTTCTTTTGAACTTTCTGTTCTCCAAAGAACCCTGAAAAACAAATCTATCATGGTTTCCACAAAAATATTAAGCAGCACATTTTTTAACATTGGTAATAAGAAATGTTTCTTGAGCAGCAAATCAGCATATCGGAATGATTTCTGGAGGATCATGTGACATTGACGACTGGAGTAATGATGCTGAAAATTCAGCTTTGCATCACAGAAATAAATTACATTTGAAAATGTATGAAAATAGAAAACGGTTCTTTTAAATTATAATATTTCACAGTTTTTACTCTAGTTTGATGAAATAAATGCAGGCTCGAGGGGCATAAGAGACTTCAATAGAAGAGAATAAAAAATTGGTACTGCAATACTATGATGAAATAGTTATAGTTATATAGTTATAGTATCTGCTAAACTTGGTTTATACTTTGCATAATTGAAATGTGACTGAAGTAGACAATTTATTACATGCCAGTCAGATTTAAACTCACTTCAGCTGCACGAGCACCACTGCGGGCAGCTCCTGAATAGCTGGCATTACGCGTGTTGAAGCAGTTCTAATGAGTCTATAGCAGAACCGGAGATGTGGGACCGCCGGGGCTCAGGGTCAGTACAGGTCTCTGTGTGTGTGTGTGTTTGCTGGTCTCCCACTTGCTTGTACATCTCATTAAATGTGGGCCAGAGTCAGAAAGACTGAACAAGCTCGGAATCATTGGAGTTTCTAAAACACACTCCTCATTTAACATGCGCTACACACACTGCTTACAAACGAAACACGCACTGCTTTCCCTCTTGTGAAGGTCACCATCAGCCTAAATGCTGTCAAGCCTTTCCTGAACAACACACACACACACCCACGTCATTAAGAGCTTTTACACTGTGTTAGCTTGATTATTTTTGTGGCTCAGAAATTGGTCTGTCTGTCATTCTATCTGTAATTCTAGCTGAGATTTTATCAACCGATTGGTGGTTCTATTTATCTGTCGTTCTGTATGTTTAGCTGTCTATCTATCTACTATATCTATTGGTCATTCGAACAGTCGTTCTAGCCATCGTTCTGTCCATCTGTCATTCTATCGGTCGTTCTGTCTTTCTACTGTTTGCCGTTTTATTGTTTTATCTATCTACTGTTCTATCCATAGTTCTGTCATTCTATCGATCGCTTTGTTCTATCATTCTGTTCTGTCTTCTATAAACCCTTCAACTTGAAGACCTTTTAAACATTTTTCCTAAATTTTCAAACAATTCTTTGTCTAGCCAACATTTAAAAATTTGTTATATACTGTATATATTTTTTTATATTTCAGTTCTTTTCAATTCTGCATTCTTAAATTCAAATGTAAAAATTCAATTCAGCATCCTGTTTGGTGGCACAGTTCAAATTTAATTCAAATGCAGGAGTTCTTTTATCGGTGAACTCTTTCCTTTGATCTTGTTTCAAGTTCTATAATTTTTTTTTATTTTTTTTTACATGCACTTTGTAATTGGTTTCCTTTGCATTATCGTGATGAAATCCGGCTTCTTATCTTAATTAGTTTGACACCCTCTGTTGCAGTTGGACACATGATTAGATAAGCAACGCCCCTGTGCATCATAAATGTACACTGAAGTGAAATCAGGCCGGAGAGCAGCAGCCAGGCACAGTTACTCAATCACTCCGGCCCAGCATAAGCCCTTCTAAGCCTTTGCCCCAAGCTAAAGTCCTACTGTTTCACTGCTCCATTCATACACCTCAGTCTCGGGTGCTAGATTGCACACACACATATAGAAGACAGCACACAGGGTGAAGAGTCTTGGATTGTAGAGGACGAATAGGAGACGTATTGTGATGCTTTAGTCTGAAGACTAGGAGGAAGTCTGGAAGTTTCAGGTTTTGTGAGAGAGAAAGAGATTGTTGAGAAGCGTTCCCACATTAGAGCCCTGCATGGGGCCTGAGAGAGATGTTAGCATGCACAAATACCAATCTTAATCACACAAACTGTTAAGAATGATGTTGCAATCCACTCTCTGCGAGGCACATTTTTAAAAACAGTGCTAGAGGGGCTAATTTGGGGGGGAAACTGCTTAAATCCACCTTACATAAATTCATTGTCACTTTGCGCGAGTGTGTGTGCAAAAGAGGATTTAATTTCCAGTTGAACATTAAAGTCCTAAATCACTTGGTGTTTGTGACCTCACACCGTCTGTTTGACCTTTTCTCACATTAGGCACACACTGCGTGTTCAGATTTATTCTGTAAGCTTGTTTCACTTTTGAAGGCCACAGACTCATTGTTCAGTGGAGGAACGAGCCTCTGCCCACCAGCAGGGGGCGACACTGAGATGGTGTTCAATCAGGCTTTGGGATCAGAAGTGACATCATTACAACACCCAAACCAACAGCTGAAGTGACCCTCAAAAAGGTATTTGCGCACTAAGTGATACCAGTCAAATTAAAATGACTTGTATTAACAAATATAATAGTGCTTTTTTCAGCATATTTTAGCAACTACTTTTAAGTGACTGTTGTAAGTGCTTTATATATGAAGTCAGTTCCTCAACCAAAAGCCAGTGTCTAAATACTTGTGTGTCCATTTGGCAACATTTTTATTATTATATCTATTGTTTTACCATTTAAAACTTGCATTTTGTGAAACGTTTTGCTTAAAGTGTGCTCGTATAAAATGAATGCCACTCAATTCAATACTTTATATTTAATGCAATTTCATGCAGGAATGTGGATTGTGTTGTAGGCATGATTCAATGCTGCGTCTTGCAAGTCAGAGTTAGAAATAGTCTGATCCATATCATGACTAAGCGGTCACCATGGAGAAATCCGAGAAACTACGTTACAGGTGGCACGTCTCTCTTGCGCGCTCTGTGCCAAATGCAGACAGTCAAGTGACACATACTATCTCACAGAGAACTACAGGTCACACCCATACGCTTGCACACACACACACACACACATGTGGCAAGCCATTTGAACATATATCCTGCAACTAACTACTATGTATTGTTACTAGTTTTATCAATCTTCAGTTATACTAGTAAAGTAACCCAATAGTGACTAGTATTGTTTTCAATTTCACTAGTACCCATACTTTAGATACTAATACTTTAATTGTGACTAGTATTAAATTATTAATTTGTACTTCATCTTTACAGTATTACCTACCTTCCTTTGCTACTAGTCACTATATCAATAGCATCTAGTATCATTCAAGTTTGGCAATGTTTATTTGTAGAAAAGTAGTATTGTAGGGTTAATTCAGCATAATTAGGCCATTTTCCCCAGCCATCTAATTGGAAACAAGTGATTGGAAACACCACCTAGTAATATTTCATATTATACTAAATACCATTGCTATAAAAACTACTGAACTACTTGACAAAAAATAATGAAAATTCACTATTAGATTACTTACAAGCAATTCAAAATAAGTATCACTAACAAATATGGTCAATACTAACAATAGATACTAGTAATGAATGTTAAAATGGCTTGCCATGAACATGCACACTTAAACTTTAACTTCGCTATCTATGTGATGTCTGCATTGTGACTGTTTATATAAGAGTAGCCTAATGGTAACACACTTTACAGTAAGGTTTCATTTGTTTGCATTAGTTAACGAGAACTAACGTTGAACCATAAATCTACAACATTTATTAATTCTAAATGTTAATTACAACATTTGATTTTAAAAATGCATTAGTAAAAGCTGTATCTGTTAAATGAGTTAATGCACAGTAAACTACCATAAACAACTGTTGTTTATTAACTAACATTATCAAAGATTAATAAATGATGTAAATACATGGCTTCACATTGCTTTTAGGTAATGCATTAACTAATGGTAAAAATTAAGATATTTTGTTACCAGACTTTTTTGCTTACGAATAATGCGCACAAGCTCTACATAAACCTTTCCAAGCCTTAGTGGTCGTAATATTAAATACTGAGAATATCGATCATAGTGCTTTTATAATGTATAGATGCGATCGCGTCCGAGGTCTCTCACCTGTTGCGCAGCGGCAGCGCGAGTGTTTGCAGAGGCAGCACAAACACACAGACGAGCAGCAGGGATTTGATGATCGCAGTCATATCCTCTACAGTCCTAGTGAATAATGTTGAGATGATGTTCCTCAGCTCGGATAGAGACGCGCAGCTGTGGAGGAGAGAGTCGTTCACTTACAAAGTTCTGAGGAAAAGCTACTTTTAAAGAGAGAAGAAACTTGTTCACTCCTTACTTTAAAAGACACGCTAATATGTAGAGGATACCGATGTATCCAGTTCATTTCATATTATTAATTCCACAGTGTGTAAGACTGTTGAAATCGCGGTTTTTAAAGCTCCTGTGCTTTGAAGGACTTTATTGATTTGCCTGGAGAAACTCTCAGTGCTGACTCAGAAAACTTGAGTCTCTCATGGATGGAGCAGATGCTTAAATACCGAGAGGGAGGAGACACGGATAACTGACACTCCACATGCTGCACTTCAGGCTTGATGCAGTTATTATGAATCAGTATCCTCCTTACAGCAACTAATTTCGTATCACCGACACCGTAGATGACTGTGTTTTCTATTAATACTTCTGAGACTCCACGGGCCGCTGTTTGTCATGCTTTATTTTAGAGAGCACATCTTTTGCTATTTTCTACCATATGAATTGAGTGGGGGCGTGGCCAATATGCTAACGTATGATAATATGTATAACGGTATTGATACGTTTTTTCACATTTACAACATTTTTCACATTTACACATTCACATTACACGTACATATAAGACTATATTTTTATAATTTATGTAACATGTTGAGTTATATGTAATCATATAAGATTACAAAGGTCATAAAATCAAAAAATGAAATGTGTGTGTATATACTGTATATATATATATATATATATATGCATGTATGTAT